TTTGTTGATGGATCACTCCAACGATCGAGATGTCGGCTGAATTGGCAGTTGCGGCGTCCGACGTCGGTGTTCACGGCTCCAACGGTCTTCGGTGGTTCTCCCTCTCCGTTCACGACGCCCGACAACAAGTCATGATGGTGGTGCTCGAGTTTGGCAAGGCGGCAGCAGCCAGAGATGGTCATTGGGAGGGTTGGCGGCCCGAAAGGAGATGAAGGGAGGCATAAGGAGAAGTGGCGGCTGCATCATTTAGGTTTAGGGTTTTGAGGGTGACGGAATGAAGTGTTAAATACCCGAACCCTTAAACTATTCTCATAGGTCATCAATGGTCCCTCCTTGTCCTTCATCCTTCAAATTCAGTCCAGAAATTACCATTCCTACCCTGCCTTCTAAAATCTCTTTCATAATAAGCCCAAAATTACACTTTAACCCCCAGATATTCAATTCTTGCCATTTGGTTTCCCGAAACCAACACCCCACTAATTATTATTTAATTTCTGAGCTCTAATAATATAAAATAATAATAATAATAATTACTTCCCGGGGTTCCTGAATTATTATTTAATTACTCTCTTTAAAATGGGATGTTACATCATCGTTTCCGTATGCAATTGTAATTTCTGATGTGATTTTGATTGTATGATTATTGGTTTCTTTATTACCCGTTATTTTTCGACGGATTCAATCTACATCCCCCCCCCCCCCCCCCCCCCCGACATAATCTTCAATAGCATGATTGTGTCGAGCTTTCGACGTTTTCAATTTGTTGACTTGTTTGTTCAGTGTGAGAATCTCTGGAGATATCTACTCATTAAAACCTCATCCCTCATCCTTGACTGTAAGAATTCTTGAGGATTCAGGGATTTTGCGATTCATGCTGAGCTTTTCTAGAGTTCAACTATTCATTCCTTATTTACAATGTCAAGTGATCCATTCTCGATTTTGTTAAATTCTGGATGAATTTGAATTTTGACCTAAAAGAACAAGGATTTATAATTTGATTATGTTGAAGCGGTAAGATATGATTTGGAGAAATTTGAGGAAGATAAGAGAAGGATTAAGGTTCGATCTTTGAAGAAAAAGGCTTTGGTTGCTTTAACAAGGTTGCAAACTCCCTAAAAAACGCCGGGCTTCTAATTGCCAATTTGCGCACATTTTTAATTGATGATGTTCGAGATGAGGAGGAAGAGAAGGTCGTTAATGCATTATGACAGGTTTTGATTGAGAAAGATTTGCTTCCATTTTTTCATGATGATTACCACACTTTATTGAGGTTGATTCATTTTTCATAAAAACCTCTTTTATAGCTTTCTCCATAAAGGGGTTTTTTTCTTTTTTAATAGATATAAAGACTATGGATTAAGCAAGAAAACTAGCTAACTTTTTACCGATTTGTCTTTCTTTTTTTTCCTCTAAACTCCTCTCATGCTTTAATTGGTTATATCTTATCAAATTTATTTTTTGTAATGCAAGGGTAAAATGGTCATTTAGCCTTATCCAGATAAATTCTGAAGTCTAGAAAAGAAACATACCTTATGTATAGAACATTTTATTTAGACATACCTCATTATCTGTTCAACCACTTTACATTTAAGGACTTAACGAGGGGGAAAACAAACAATCCCTACATTGTTCTTTCCGCATTAAGTTAAAAAGAACACTCATATATTCAGTTTTTCCGCATTAGGTCCAAAAGAAACCGTATTTGTAGTGCTTAAGGAATCCATCTTATCTCTACAGAATTTCCAAGGTCATATGATTAAAAGAAACCGTATGACCTCTTTAGGCAAGACATATCTCAGGGGCGGTAGTCTCCCTCAGGGGATAGGACATAACTCCCGTATGACCTAATTCGTTCTCCTCAGGCAAGAAAGAAGTCATTGGTGTGCAGGCCCTCGGGATTCTTTACTTTATTTTAGTACCTTGACCCAACCGCATCGCCTTCGTGTGTCATTTTATGAGCGTTTTTTTAATTAAATTTCATATAATATTTTAATGTAATAATTACAATAAATGTAGTAATAAATAGATATCAATTTCATTAATGGTCTTATCTTCTAATTTCAAAATTCCCAAATTAAAGCTTATAATTTCTTTTGTTTATTTATTTAAATTATTTGTTTAAATTTAAAATAAAATAAAAAAACATTTCAATTTTAATAATTAATTATTTTCTTATTTTCTTATAAATTTAAAGTTCTAAAATATTTAAATTTTTATATTTAATTTTTTTTTAAATTAACTCATGTAATACATATGTCTCACAACTAATAGATATATAAAAAACAGATATCGAAGTTTAGTGTGTGGGAATTAATTAAGACATTTTTATAACTTTATAGATAAAAATGTGAATTTTGCAACCGACAAACTAAATTACATTAAGAAAATAAGATAATCAAAATTTTCTAAAAATATTTTATAATGACAAGTAATTCGAATAGATATCATTATGCAAATGCCTTTATAAGTAAAAATATTGGAATTTGTTTTTATGATTGTCCCCATTTTTATAAAGGAAAGGGGTTGAAGTAAATTGAAGAATCGATGAAAAGCGAAAGAGAAAAAGATATGCAGAAAATGGTAAAGAGAATTTTTCTTTCACACAGACACAATCACGAAAGTAAGCATTGGCTCCAGATTCCGAGACACCACGGGAGAACCACGTGATTGCCAAACTCCATCAAAATAGTTAAATAATTGAGATCAAAATTCAAAATGGTAAATCTTTTAAAGAGAAATCAAATGTTAATTTTTTTTCTATTTCAAGATAAAGATCAAAATAAAAAGAGATGATTAAGTGAAAGAATTAACTGTATGCACATGTTATAATCATATATTAATACGAGGATAAGTCCGAAGAAAAAAATACAAGGATATTTATATTTCTTTTAATAAATTAAACTTTATTTCTCAGCTGGTTAGAATCAAAATGGTAAAGTCCTCTTACGAAATTAAACTTTTTGTTTCTTTATAACGTCAATTTCTGTTAAGGACTATAACAATTAACAAAAGCAAAATTGGTTATAAATTCCTATATGGACCAATTCTATATGGACCAATTCTGCAATTTATCTAAACTATTAAATTCAAAATAAGATTAACTTGTTAAACACTTTTGTAAACTTTTTACAAAATTAGATTAGTTTCTTTCATATTATGCTTCTACTTTATTACCACCGGAGAAACGTGAGACGCTATTTCAATTTGCAAGGACCACGGCAGTCAATGATCTCGTCGACTACTTCTTTCTTGTGTGAGGTCAAAATCTAAGGCAGATAACCTGCATGCTTTAGGGAGGAAATGTTTTCGATTCTTGTGTCCTTCAATTGTTTTGTTTTTTCATTGTTTTATAATTATATCTATCGAGTAAGAATCATTAATAATATCTTTGAACGCTTTATTAAAATAGATTAATAAAATATTTAGGAGACAGAAATTTGTAACCCAAAAAACAAAATATAACGACGGAAATAATAATTATTGTAGAAAGGCTTTTTACGGAATGATATTTGTTTTTTGAAAAGTTTTAAATTGACCACATATTTTGCTGCAACCCACAGCCATTTTCCTCATTCAAACATTTTTGTTTCAAAAATGTTTTTCGGAGAATGATGTTTCAGATTTATTTTTAAAAAATATTAATTTTGTTCTTGTTCATTATACAAATAATCTTTCAGAATTATTTAAAAAAAAAAACTTTGTCACATGTTATATCATATATTCATATGGGAGTCTAACAGTTGAGCATAATTTCACATAGGTTGTTCAGAGTTCAAACGTTGACACAGCAAAAATATTGCTAGTGTACTGCGATGGACCTCCCACGTGAGCCTTGAGGTTGCTTAACGTAAGTCGTTCATATGATCCGGTTTATCATATATAAACTTGTTTTTAATTTAAAGAAGACATTGATGTGGATATTATGTGACATACGGTTGTCTTAAGAGGGTAACAAAATATCATTTTTAAGCATTTTATTTTACATTTACCCTAAGACTTTTTTGATGACTTGGACATCTCGCCTAGGAGATGCCTTCCATGGCTACTAGAGATATAAGAAACTTCAATCCCGACAACAACAGCTACATCAGTCATCCTCAATTCGGACATAAACTCATTAACGATGATAAGAAATTCGAAACTCTCACACAACCAAATACTCATTCTCTTCATTAATATTCTTTTAGTTTAGGAGACAGGAGACAGATGATTAAGCAACATTGAAGATCTTTGTCGATTGCTTTAGGTACATCTATTCCATACAACACACTTGATACGGATATGGTGCGCTTTTAAATCTCGTTTGTACCATAAAACAACTTTGGTTCTAATTTTTATTGGAAACTAATTTGTTGTAATTGAGTGTGATTAAGACCTTATGTTAAAGATTTCTAATTACTACTAGGATACCTTTTGTTCTTCTTATTGTTATGTACATTAGAGGTTTTTCTAATCGATTAATTGTTAATTTGTTTAGCTGATTGGCAATAGTGACAGTGGTATGATGGTGGCTGGTGGTGGTGATGGACAATGGTGTCAATGGTGGTAATTGGAAATGGTGGTTATTAAGAGGGGATTTTGATCATTTCACACTTAACTAACAGATCAATATATGTAATAAAGATAACTCACGATCATATGATTCATATCACAATACTACAACCAAAAAGTGATGCTTTGGACAAACCACAAGGACCAAAACTGTATTTTACTCAAAATTAATGATATCTTATCCTATGAAATAATTTACCTTTTTACCGACCACAACTATTTTGAATTTTGTAAATGGTAACGTAAAGATCGTACGGCACTACTTCCAATTAAAAACCACGCTACAAAATAAGATTCGATATACATAGAATCCCATGTGACTACCAAATAAGATTTAATATAACATAAAATATTACATTCCCAGATACATAACACAGACGACTACAACATGAAACTAAACAACTTTTTATTCCGAAAACCCTAAACTTTTCGTCACTAAAAACTACTTATTAGTGACAGAATATAACTTTAAGCTCACGTGGCGACGAACACTCGTGCGTTAGCGACGGGCTATCATGCGCGTATGCAAACGTGGCCGGACACGCGTGCTTAAAGAAATCCGACCACTTCGACGCTTTACACGTCTGCGCGTTGTTGAAATGACCTCTGCAACAAAACTCGTCGGTATTGAACGCCTCACAGCCACTCTTACACGCCACCACTTTCCCATCGGCGTGTTTCTGCAGCGACCACGGACACGTAGCTAGCAGATCCGCCTTGCAACCGACCACCGGACACACTCCTTTACCCTCGTGCGGCGTTACCGTCATCGGGACATTGAACCCGTCGACGAGGCTGACGGCGTAAGAAGACTGGTCGGTGTGGCTGTGGTGGAGGCTGAACTGGGCTAGGGTGGCGGGTGTGGCGCCGCCGAGACCGTTGCACTCGAGTTTGCCACCGCAGTCGCCGGTGGAGCAGGTGAAGCGACCGTTGTGGTTGGTGCAACCTGTACGGCCCCAGATACGACCGGACCAGTGGGTGGCTGGGGCTAGGAAGGAGCGGTGTGTGCGAGGGTTGAGAGCAAAGCCGCCGCGTTCGAGGACGGGGTGGCCGGCATTGGGTTGGATGGCGGGCCAGACTGGGAAGGGGCAGTTGTTTACGACTGTGAGGGTCAGTGTGGCGTGGGACAGAGGGAGGAGCAGAAGAGAGATGAAGGTGATGAAGGAGATTGAAGCCATGGTTGTGTTGGTATTGGTATTGGTGTGGATGGAGATAGATACAAAGGGTGTGTATATATAGGCGTGAAAATGTGCATATTTTCCAAAACTTTTGTGGTTTCATTATGTAATTTGTCCGAATTACGAAAAATAACAAGTATCAACTTAATTTATTGAATAGTTATTCACTAAAGTACCATAAAGGTGTCGATGCGTGTTTCAAAAAATTGATTTTTAATATATTAGTTAAGTTATTCACTAAAATATCATAAGCTATTGGTACTTGTTTTAAAAAATTATTTTTTTCTGTATCTAAAAGTTTTTATGGTTAATATGGTTTTTAGAAAATATATTATTATTATTATATTTAAGTTATCAATAAACTCAGTTTATAATTAAAAAAAAAAAACGTAATATTTTTTTTTATTTATCTTTATAATATTTCAATTTTATATTTTATATTTCTTTATCTAAATTTAGACATTATTATAGTTTGATAGAACTTTGAATTTTGTTATCATTTTGGTTTAGACTTTTTTTCTCACAATTTTTATAAACTTTTAAAAAAATTTAAAGACTTTTTTTGTAACTATTTTTTATATATTGTTACAAGCTTTTTAAACTTGTATTGCAACTTGTTTTTCAAGTTTTTCTACCCTTTCATATTACCGGGAAATCTGTGAAAAATTCTCAAAGTTTTGCTCAAATTTATGATTTATTCCTAAATTAATTTTCGTTAATGAAAAAGAACAGGTTACCGGCTATTAAACTCACTTTAGCCATTCAAACAGATAACCCTTCTATTAGCCGGTTGCCCCAACTGACTCATCTTTATTACCCTACATTAACCTCATTGTCACCCACTCCTCTGTAAAAACCCTTTCTTACCATCCATTGAAGCAAAACCCTAGATCGGAAGATTCAAAGGTAAGAAAATCCACGTGGTCCTCCATTATCTTGTTTCTCTTATATTATTCTGATTAATTTTTGTTCTGTAGTGATAATGGAGACAGTAGATGACTTGGATATCATTGACGTGGAATTGGATGAGTTTTTCAAAAAGAAACAAAGAAGCCGATGCAAAGATGAGTTCCTAAACACTCTCACTGAAAAAGCGCTTGACGAATGCACCATACGTGAGATAAACCTATAGGATTTTGAAGGAATCTCGGAAGATGAAGCTCAACAGGAGAAGTTGAGTGACAGTAAGGGTGACGATGAAGACAAATTGCAGCTTCATTACTCAACACATTATCCGAATGTGAAATGGAACAATATGAATCCAGTTCGTGGGGAGAGGTATGAATCACCACACCAAGTAAAGCTTTGTTTGACAAATTACTCTCTCTCTCTCTCTCTCTATATATATATATATATATATATATATATATATATATATATATATATATATATATATATATATATATATATCATATCTAATAAATGAAGGTTTTTTTGCCACATGTAATCTTCTCCTTCATTTTGACACTTGTCATTTTGTGAGAGTTTTAGAATTTTTATTTTCACTTGTCATTCTTTAGAGATTTCTATTTTCTTAAAATAAAATTCCATAAAATAAAATTCCATAAAATTGTAATGGGTTCTATAAGGAAATAAAATCATCCTATTAATTTGATAATAAATTCTCATAAATACTTCAAACGATTTAATTTCTTTTGTAAATATTTATTTGATAATAAATTCTCATAAATACTCCAAACGATTTAATTTCTTTTGCAAATGTTCCAAAACATTACATTCTGTTATGTAAGTATTAATTTCTAAAATATTTCATGTTTATATATTGATATTAAATTTTTATTTTTAATAAACCCGTATAATATACGGGTCTCACACCTAGTATATATATAGAGGTAGGTTCAAATGTTTCTCACATCTATTGTGTGCTAGAATGCACCAATAGAAATTTAGTATTAATTATATGTATATTAAATGTTATCCATACTTATAACTCATTTTTATGGAAACCAATTAAATTCGTCATTAATGTCAACAATAATATTATTTCAGAATGAATTCATATCTAGAAGAATGAGAGTGTATTCCAGCAGAATGAGAGTGTATTCTACTAGAATACACTCTCGTTCTTCATATTCCATGCAAATTTATTATATTTTAAGTGAGTGAGTCCTGAAACAAAATATGAACTCATATATAAAAACCTAGATGCGAATTCATTCTGAAAGAATGTTATTGCTGACATTAATGACAGATTTAATTAGTTTCCATAAAAAGAGAATTATAATTATGGATATCATTTAATATACATATAACTATGGAAATCATTTAATATCTATATTTATTTAATTAAATAATTATTTAATTTACTAAATTCCTATTGGTGCATTCTAGCACACAATAAATGTAAGAAACAAAATAACCTAGCCCTATATATATATATAGATATATATATATATAATATATATAATATATATATATATATATATATATAATATATATATATATATATATATATATATGGGTTATCCAATTAGGTTCAAGAAATGTGATAGTGTAAGCCTTGTGGCTATATGTGCAAGTGATCCTGAGAAATTTCAATGTACCTTTGTGGTAATGGACTAATGGATGAGCACTGAAAGATCATTTCAAATAAAAAAAAATGGTTGAGCAACATACTTGTGTTAGGGATTTTAGTAGTGCTAATCTTATGGATCCCATATGGATACTTAGGCAGTTTCTGAAGGAGATGGTTAGGAAACCAAATCTGAAATATAAGGAAATGCAAGCTATTATTCAAAGTAGGTTCCATTGCAAGGTTTCATGGTCAAAAATTTTATAGAGCAAAGTGTAGGGAAATTTCTTTAATAGATGGAAAGTTGAGTGATCACCATGCAAAAGTATGGGGTTATGGACATGAGTTGATGATGTCCAATCCAGGGAGTACAATTCAAATATTTGTCACTGTAAACCCTGATAACACTACTACTTTCCATAAAATGTATACATGTTTTAAGGTTATCAAATAAAGATGGAAAGTTGGTTGTCGAAGAGTTATTAGGTTTGATGGAAGTTTTTTGAAGGGACAATGTAAAAGTGAGCTGCTATCTGCCATAGGGAGGGATGCAAATAACCATGTGTATCCTATTGCTTGGGTTGTAGTTGATATTGAGAACAAGCCCAACTGGAAGTGGTTCTTAGAAATATTACATGATGACTTGGGATTACAAGGAGGCTTGATGCCAGAAAGAAGCCTTTGTTGGCCGTGCTTGAGGATATTAGATTATATATAATGGAAAGGTTCTTTAACTTGAAGCAAGATGCACGTAAATGGGTGAATGATGTGTAGCCAAGACCTATCAAGAAAATGGATGAGTTTGGTATTGATATCAAGTAAGTATCATAAATTTGTTTTTACAGTTATCAATATGTATACTAACTAAAATTGTTATTATGTTTATATGAGTTGGTATGTTAATCCAAGTGGTTTGAATGCTTAAGAAGTGAGAAATGGCTTCCAATCATATATAGTGAACTTAGAGGGGATGTATTGTATATGCAGACTTTGGGATTTTTCTGGGATACCCTGTGTCCATGCCCAAGAAACCATAATTTACATACAATAGGATCCAACTAGATCCATCAACATATGGTTTGGAAAGGACAAGGTTTTAGCTACTTATGAGTCTAAAATTCTTCCTGTTAATGGTAGTAATATGTCAGAACCAACACCTTACACTAAACCACTACCACCTGTTGAGGAAAGGGTGCCAAGAAGGCCTAGTATCAAAAGGAAAAGGCATGTTTATAAGCATGAAGACAGGTTCTCCCAAGTCTCCTCTAAGGGCAAAATTGTCCAATGTCATAATTGTATGTAATGGGGGCACAATAAACTATCTGGAAAACATCCCTCAGTTAACCCTACACCAAAGCCTAAGAAGAAAATTGGAAGGAAAAGGTTGAATCTAGAATTGATCAATTGCACAAGACGTGGGAGATGATCAAAAAGGGGTGGTAGAGGAGGTGGAATAGGTGGTGGAAGAGGTGGTGGAAGAGGGTCTACCAATGTTTATGAGGAAGGTGAAAATTCTGTTGGATTAGGTGTCTAAGCCCATAACTATAATTGGTATAATCTTGAATTGATGGTAGCACATTCCTTTTAGGTTGCCATCAAACCTAGCAATTGGACAATATTATTTTGGAGAGAGAGAATGATTTATTATTTGATTAATAAATTAAAATAAATAATTTGTTAATATATTATGGGAATATTATATTAATTAGAAATAGTAATATTTAATTAATTTTTAGTCAGAAACTAATTAGAATTAATTTGGTGATTAAAAAAAATTAATTGAAAGTGTATGGACTGAAGAGAAATTGTTTAATAGTTGAGCAAGAGGCATTCTAGAACACTCCATGAAGCTATGGATGGTTTGAAGGAGCCTTAGGGTTTCTAGAATTATCCTTGGTGGATAATTAGGAAGCTGGATAATTACCCGGTTCAAGATAATATTATTATATTGGGTTTGGGCTTATCTAGGATTTCCTGACTGTACTATAAATAGGCCCCTAGCGATATGAATTTTGGTGCTCCTAACCCTAGAAGAGATCTGGCGAAAAATCACCTCCTCCCTCTCCATAATCCTTAGTTGCTAGTCTTGGATGTGAACCATCAGAGGCACGACGCTTATGGTGCTAGCTGCCAAAAGATTCGAAGAAGGATTCAAGGTGTTTTTTGCTATAACAATCTTCAAAGCAAGTTTCTTATTCTATTGAATTTGTTTTTCATAAGAAAAGTTCTGTAGGATGATAGTTCATAGCATGTTGCCTATATGTGAAAGACATAGATCCTCAATAGGTTGCATGTGCCCTAATCATTTAAATTGTTTAAATGTTTTCCACTTAGTGCTTAGAAATTTTGTAACCTACGTTTTCTATCAGTGGTATCAGAGCCTTATGGCTATCTTTCATGTACTTGCACATTGGTGAATTGATCAAACAAAAGAAACAAATTTTTTCGAAAAATCACTGCTCACGAG